TTCTTCTGAGGTACATCTTCCTCAAGGTTTAAGAAATATTTCTGGATCTTACACATTGTTCCAGTGGTAGAGGTTTCCCTCTATCAAGGCGATGGTGGTGAGGGTTTTGTCCTGAAACACAGCATAAATGTTCTGAGCACTAGTAACGCTTACTGAGCACTAAAAGAACAACATTCAATCTAAGGTCCTCTCACCAGCCCCATGTCATCAGCCAAAATCCCACCAAGCACTTTCTCTGGCCTTTCCTTAACAGCAAAGTTAGTGAGAACGTTAAAGTAGAGGACATTCTTCTCCTCCCAGAATGGAGGCAGATCGTTGCTGTTCTCACGAGAGGTCATCCACGAGAGCACCTGCTTTTGATGTGGGAGCAGGGAAGTGCACACTGCCTGCACGGACAGACATTAACAGAGACATCTGTAAGTGACTGATGGATGAGATTGACAGTAAAAAAAACAGCTGTGTGTTCTTTCTGTGCTCTCACCCCTGCTGGCTCCATTTCTCTGGGTTTATCCTCCATTAAATCATCAAATAGCTTGTCAAAGGCATTTTTCAGCTGATTATGATGTAACAAAAATAAGTTTTATTAGCCAGTTCATTAAAATTGTGCGAAAAGCATCATAAACATATAGATTGGTGGTTCTCTACTGGTGTGTTGCAGCTCTGTTTGTTCATAAATGGCAAAGAAAAACAAAGTTAAATGAATGCTAAATGCAACTAACTATATCATCATGCCTCATATCATATTATGTATAGTTAAGACAGCAAAATAAATAAATGTATCGCCTTTTAAAAGTAAAAACAAGCCTCCCATATTATTTGTTGTTGACGTCAACAGCTGTGCATCCAATAAAACAAAATTAGGCAAGGAAAAAGAAAATATGGTACATATTATATTAAATAAATATTAAACAAAATAAATAAGGTTTATAATTTATTTATTTTTATTTCATATTATTATTATTATTATGATTATACAGAGATTTTTGTTGATACTGTGTTGGGTCCAGTGTAGAAAAGAAAAAAAAAAACTGCTGTGAACCACTGATCTAGATTTTACCATATAAAGGCATACCAGACAAAGAACAATAATTAATTTTGACATCTTATAACTAACATCTGTCACATGGAATTTACCTCTTCTTCAGTCAAAGGAATGGCAGATATTTTTGAAGACAAACCAAGCAGATCTCTACCCACAGATGTTTGTGTAGTGCCTCCTAAGATAATAAAATATCAATCATATAAGCATTATGCGTTCACCAAAGAACATTAAGCAGCGAATAAACAAATGAGTGAACCTTTGAACTTAGTGCCAAGTTTGAAACCATGGCATCTCATCTGATTATGCACAGCTTCTCGGTTCTCCTCTTTGCCCCAGAATGTGAGGTTTACAGGCATTGAAAATTTATTTTTCTCTCCATAGTGCACAACCCTATTAGGGAGATCAAACACAAAAGTAATCTGTTTCAATCAATTTGCAATAACATACCCAACAAATAACAAATTTGTAGAAAAGACACTGAGAAATTACTATACCCTTCCACCCTGGCCAAATTGTTGTCCATCATGTAGGCCATTGGGGCTGCCAGCTCTTTCTTGATGTGCCCCACCTGACTTCCATACACATTAGCAACCATCACTGCATTTCGGTCATAGGGATTCTGCGGCTGCCTCACCAAGGACACCATATCTCCTCTATTGACCTACAGCACGTCAGAGTCAAATAATAATCTTGTTATTAAATGAGATTAATTCCATGATAAATTGTTCAGTTTTGCTTTAACCACTAGAGGTCAATATACACTGTGCGGTGGGACAGGTGCGCAGATCACTTGTTCCTGTAAGGTGTGTCAGAAGAATTAAGCAGGTAGAGACGGCAGGAGAAAATTGTTAATGTTGTACTGCAATACATAATACTGCATTCTTTTAAATTGTGTAAATCATCTTTAAACAGGAACCTGACCCAAAGACATGTAGCTGTGTGGAAAATGCTGATTTTTTCCTGATGAGTTAAAACAGTTCAGTTTATACATACATGTGTGTATGTGTGATTCCTACCGTTCCAGTGTAGTAGCGCAGACCAACAACTGTGCCTTGAATTGAACCAATCTGAACATTCTCCTCTGGCAGGTCCTGCCCTGAATCCTCTGTTAAATTTGCTATTTCTTGGGATATGGTTATTGTGCCACCCACATCCAGGAAATCTATGAGGGCTGACGATGGATGACAGCAGGAATTAGAATTAATTCAGATGTGACATCAATTCAACACACTGGGAGTTGAGTACTAGAGTGTAGCAGGTTTTACTTTAGTTGTCTAGGGAACAAATTTGGCAGCTGTTGTGGGGAAGTCGTGGCCTATTGGTTAGAGAGGCAGACTCGTAACCCAAAGGTTGCAGGTTCAAGTCTCGTACCAGCAGGGATTGTAGGTGGGTGGAGTGAATGTACAGCACTCTCTCCCACCTTCAATACCACGACTGAGGTGCCCTTGAGCAAGGCACCGAACCCCCAACTGCTCCCCGGGCGCCACAGCAAAAAATGGCTGCCTACTGCTCTGTGTGTGTGTTCTGAGTATGGGTCACCATACTTGGCCACATGTCACATCACTTTTACCGTATCGTGGCGAGGTGCTGGTCGAGGGGTTGTGAGGAGGAGCAGCAGTGCGGGGATAGATGTTTGACGACTGCATGACTGCGATCAAAACACAAACACGAACCTCACTCTGCCACTTTGTCCTAATCGGAAAAACAAAACCCTGTTCGAATGTATAATAAAGCAGAGTCAGGCCGTTTAATTATATAAAAATTACACATTATTGTAATATAAATAGTAGTTAATAGTAAAACGCTTCATTCAACTAGAATGAACTCTGGTTATAACAAGCGAAGACGGATTAAGTAAAACTATTTAGCTGCAGGCCACACTCACCTCCCGAATCAAAGACTCCAGAACGAGAAAAGCGCGCTGCAAACTGAAAATCTAAATCCAAATGCTACATCAGCGATTAATAGTGCAGACCTATACGGGTTTATTGTAACTTTTTTTTTATTTTTTATTATTTTATTTTTTTTATTGCAAACAATTCAGAGATGACATTAATGAAATACAACTTTGCATACATTACACAATGTATCAACAATACATCCAATGTCATCTGAACATATGGAAGAGAAGAGAAGAAAAAAAAAGTTGACAATGACTGTTAAAAGAGAAAGATGCATTTAAATAGCTTTTTTATGAACAAAGAAAGGCAGGAACAGAACAAATAAAGAAAAGAGGATTTAAAAACAAAAAAACAAAACAAGTATTAATCACGGTACATGAAAGATCTCATCATATCTCTTTAAAAAATAAATACATTTTTTGTTATTAATTACTCTTAGTGATTTAATTAAATGTTCTACTTCACATAAGAAATCTATAAAAGTAGGTATTTTCTTAAGAAACCTTTGTTTGTTAAAATAGAATTTTGCCACAAGGATAAGAAAGTTAACAGCAGATTCTAAAGATTTGTTTTGGTTTTCAAAAAAGCAAACACCATCCTTAATGTGTAAATTACAGTTCATATTAACTTTAGAAAAACAATAGGAACTCAAATGGACCAGAATTTTACCTATTGTCACACACTTACTCAAAAAAGATGATGATGATGATGATGATGAACAACAAACAAACATACAGAAAATTATTTTAAGCGAAATTATTTAATCAGCTCAGTTTCCCCAGTTTCCCACAGTGCAACAACAAACAGAGCCAACAACAATAATTACTCACCTTCCATCCATCCGAGATGTAGATGTAGAATTAAAAAGCTGTGTGTTTGTTGTAAACAAATCCATCAAGATGTTTGCTTTCCATTGCTTTCAGCTAAAATACGAATCCTCTTGGGCAAATTCACTCAGGTCTGGTTCCAGCATTATGTTATTGGAGACATTTTGGATTGCATGCTTTGTTTTGGTTATTCAGGTCTATGCTGGCTTGCTTATTAGATGATTGTAAGGGCCTGTAGATAGTGTGTTGGTAACTATACATTTTTTAAAAATGTGTGTAACCTTTTCTTTTCTTAATTGGCTATGTATAATTTTTTGATTTGTGTGATGTAATGGGTGCAGGAAATATAGGGGTGCTGAGGTGCTGCAGTACCCCCTTTTGTCTCAGGTTTATAAACTATAAATAAATTATATATAAACTATATATAAACTCAGGCTTATAGAATTAACAAGGGAACCAGAAACAATATTTTTTTTCTTTGTATATTTTGTGGTATGTATCTTATAGATAAGTATATTGTATAAAAACTGTGTGATATAGATTTAAAATATCTCTTAAATGCATTTAATAAAAAGACAAACTTGTATGTATAATACTTTATTATTTATTATTAAAAGTTACACTTATCAAAAATTGTTAAGTAAAAGAAAACTAAAAGTTCACTGTGGAAGGAAACAACATTCACAGTATACAAGTTGTTACAATTACAAATTAGTAGAAAATTTACAAAAAGTGTTCAGGTCTGACTGGGCTATAGAAATAGAAATATAGACTCTGTAAAAGCTCAATGTAGATTGTAAAGAAAGTTTTGGCACTGGCAAAAGAACAACATAGCAAGAAATGTCATGAGAGTGGTTCTTTATCCAACTAATTAAATGTATAGGTAGAAACTGCATTGATATTTCATTTAGAATTATGAATTCTCCACTTTTTAAGTATCTTAAAGGGGTGGTTCACTGTTTTTTTTCTAGGCTTGATTGTGTTTATGGGGTGCAGTCTAACATGTGCTTCATCTTCTCTAAAGCAGCACAGCATGGCCTCGCCCCCTTTGCTGCCTTTTCCCGAGGGCGGGGTTTATCTGGGTTTGTTACGTCACGAACCCGGGAAGTAACTTGTTGTAGTCCCTACCAGCCGTTTTTGTAGGCATTAAACTGCCAGAATTTTAAAAGACGATATCTCCGTTTGCATTGAACTTTCAGCTTCGTAACTTTGCAGATATTGTTTATGCTCAAACAGCAACATTAAACACTAACTAACGTTAAACAAGTGAAATCGCAATCAACCACCCCTTTAACACTCTTACCACTTCAAAACTGAACAATCACAATAAGCCTATAGCATGAGCATAAAGTACACACTAAGGGCAAGTGAGGAAATTATTTTTGGACTGCTGCACTGGAACAGCTGTACAATTACAAAAATAGCTTATCATCCTGAGTTTGCATTTAAATGTTGAAAATCCTAAATTGGAGCAATGCTGAAGCAAACACATTTTTACTGTATGTAATTGTAAATACACTAACATTTACATTTAAACATTTAATCAAAAGAGTTTCCACACTATCTTAATGCACAGTCAACATAGTTTCATATTGTTGCTGATGAATAACAGGGTTAGATGTTACAGAGTCTGTAACTCTTAATAGGCTCAGGTTAACGCTTTAATCAGGTACAGTTTATCTCCATGTTCACTGGTAAATATGGGAGCCTTTTTGTAATGTTCCACCAAATCCTCCATGGAGCTGAACTTGCGCTGACCAATGCAGTAGAATCCATCGGTTAGCTGCACCTTGAAATGTTTGTTCTTGTACACTGCCTTCAGAGAGATGGAGAAGTCGTTTGGCTGGAAAGTAAACAATGAAACGTTGTGTTCACAACAAAGCACAAATGAAAATGTTTGTGACTTTCTGCATAGTCTAATTATAGTTCACCCAAAAATTAAAATGTGCTGAAAATTTACTCACCCTCAGGCCATCCAAAATGTAGATGAGTTTGTTTCTTCATCTGAACAGGTGTAGAAATTTAGCATTACATAACTTGCTCAGCAATGGATGCTCTGCAGTGAATGGGTGCCGTCAGAATGATAAAAACAGCTGTCCAAACAGCTGATAAAAACATCACAATAATCTAGTTAATCAATTATCATCTTGTAAAGTGAAAAGCTGTGTGTTTGTAGAAACAACCATCATTAATGTGTTTTAACTTTAAACCATCACTTCTGGAAATCCATAATTAATTGGAGTCCATAATCCATAACAACGCTTCCTCCAGTGAAAAAGACCATCCTTTGTTGTCCTTTCACATCAAAATCAACAGACATATTTGTTTAGAACTTTCGCTTGTAAATGGTACTTGATCTGTGCATACTTCTCTCCTGATTCAGGCGAGACAATTAGGACTTATATTTTAACAGTTTAAAATTAAAAACGTATTAATGATGGATCTGTTTATTACAAACACTTCACAAAAGGTTAATTGATGGATTGGAGTTGGGTTGTGGATTATTGTGATGTTTTTATCAGCTTTTATCATCTTATTCTGACGGCACCCATTCACGGTAGAGGATCATAGTGAATAAGTGATGGCATGCTGAATTTGTTCACATGAAAATCACACTTTGCATGGCCTGAAGTTGAGTAAATTTGGAGTAACATTTTAATTTTGGGTGAACTATTGTATTAAATAAATGTGTAAAAAATGCTAAATGTCATGGATACCACCTGGTTAAATATAATTAAATTAAATGATCTCAATTTCAATTAAACTGAGTTACCGTAGACTCGCTGTCTCTGATGAGGAAGTCACCATCCACTCCCATCTGGTTCAATACCATCTCAGCCTGATGCCGTGTCAGTTTGCCATAGTACCATGGTTTTCCTCCAAACTTTCCGTCCATAGAAGGCTTAATGTCATAGTTTGAAGAAAGTGGTCCTGAATTCCCCAGTTCTCTATGTGTTTTCTGTACAACTGTAACATAGTTCTTGGGCACTAAACCCACTTGCCCATTTTCTTTTCTACACTTCCACCATTCAGGATCATTCTCAGGTTTCTCCAACACATCCATAAGTTCATCCTTGTTGAAATTCAGCTCCTCGACATTGCCGGAGCTGAAATGATAAAGTGCCTGTACAGTCTCCAGAACCTGAGAGCCATTGTTATTGTGCCCCACAGATGTCAGTCTGTCTTTAAGAGAGCCCATGGAGTCGCCCCTCATCGTCCCATCCACATCCTCTGTGACATAATTGGAGGGAAACCATCCAGAAAGGCCATTATAGGTTCCTCGCCACCAACCGTCACTGCACTTCTCCATGACGATGACCCTTGTGCCCTTCACCAAGGAGAGTTCATCGCCCCGCTCTGCGGTGTAGTTGAACTTCACCAGTGCGGGGAGATTGAGGTCATACAGTCGCTCATCGCAGTCATATTTCTCTGTGCTGGAGGGCAAATCTCGCATACAGCCTTTCTGCTTCACCTTCCCAATCCCTGGAGAAAAGAATTATGTAATATGAGCATTTGGACAATGATGTTTCTTTATAGCAAATGTGCTGTTAAGAAACATAATACTCACAAGCTAGCATAGTCTTACTTTACCTTTACAAACTGACATAATTTAGCTTTATAATGTGAAATTGTCAAGGTTACACTGCTATATTCATATGAGACCACAGTTAATCCCCAAACAAGACAAATCCTGTTATTTTTGTTTCTTCAGAGTTCAGTCCCTTGAAATTGAACTTGAAGCTCCTAAAAGTAACAAAAAATGAACTATAACACCTAGTCCTATTATGCAAACTTAAAAGTGAGGGGTCAGAAAGCTATTTTAATGGTTTTAAAAGAAGTCTGTTATGCTCAACAAGGCTGCATCAAAAATACAGCAATTTTGTGAAATAATATTATAATTTAATATAACAGTTTTCTATATTTTCCTGTGATGGCTAAACTGAATTTTCAGCAGCCTTCAGTGTCACATGAACCTTCAGAAATCATATGCTGATTTGCTGCTCAAGAAACACTGATATTATTATTAATGTTGAAAATAGTTGAGCAATTTTTTTTGAAACCATGATTCATTTCTATCAGGATTCTTTGATGAATAGAAAGTAGCATTTATTTAAAATAGAAATATTTTGCAAAATTATAAATGTGTTTACTGTCACTTTTGATCAACTGAATGCATCCTTGCTAAATTAAAGTGTTAATTTCTTAAAAAAAAAAAAAAATACATAGAGGTACATCTTATTCATACAATAAAAACATAAAAGTCCACTTACATATAACAATTTATATGTAAAGTGTACAAGAAAAAAAAAGAAAATATATTTTTTTGTATTTTCTACAGAATCATTATTTTCATCTGTCCCACTTTTGGTAAATTTGTACAACAACAATATTCCAGTTGCGCAGTCACAGACTGACAGCCCAAACCCTAATAATTTATATGCTACAGACTTCAAATCTGCAAATAATTTAGACCAACTATCATCCTGTGTCTTCATGACTTGAGTATGCCAATAATGTAAACACTGAGAAATTGACATGCCATCAATGTTTGACAGGTTTGCCCTCTTGCATAAACTGTTTTACATGACTACTAAATCAAGTCAGGAAAAACACACCCTGAAATTCCAATTTAGTGATTGGGTAATGAAACATCAATTTTGATCAGTTTAAAACACTCATTTCTGGGCCTGAATCCACTGGATGAGTCTGTGTGTCTACACAAATGATAAAACACACACCCATTCCTGTCAACATCTCATTCTTTTTTTGGAATAATTTGGATCATAATAAAGATGCAAAGATGCAGAAGCTGTTTTATAATCATTTGCAACTATTAGGTATCTACCAAGCCTCAAAACAAATGTCTCTGCATACACAGGAAGATAAAACATATGGAGCAAAATATGTATATCGTTCAAAAGTTTGGAATCACTATGAAAGTTTTAAAAATAAACTGATACATGTTCACCAAGGATGCATCAAATTAAATGAACTAATTCACCTGAAGTTTCATCTCATGCTTTCCACAGCACTTCCCACGGGTGTTATAGGCATTTAGGGCAATTCTCACCGGCCTCGCAACTGAACAGTTCCCATAACAGCACAATTTATTAGCTTATTTAAGTTTCAGATTAAACTCTGTCTAAAGGTCAGCAGCTTCCCAGAGTCATTTCCTCACTGTTGCTGATGAAACTGATTATTTGACACGTAGTTTTCAATGAAGCAGCCAGCTGAGCACCAGTGAGGGGGTTGTTTCTCAAACTAGAGACTTTGATGTGCTCCTCATTTTGTTTTTGTGCAGCAGCCGTCCACTTCTCTCTGTACTGGTTAGATCCAGTTTGTTCTGTTCTTTCTAGAGAGCAGTTCACGGAAAAGTCTTAAGAAGAACAATAGGCTGATGAGTTTCTACAGAAACATGTTCCTTTTTGACCTTTGTTGAAACTAAAATTGGTCTTCAGAAATGTGTGTACTCAAAACTCAAGCAATTAAAAAAATATATGTTTTACACACATTTTCAACAGTGCTAATAATACGAAAGTTGCCAGACCAGAATAATAAAATATTACATTTGACATATTTTAAAACTAATATTTAATTTATATATGTATGCCTTTTAAATTCTATTTTACATTTTTAATGATTAAAATAGAATTTATACATTTATACATTTAAAATTATATTTTACCTGTAAAATGTATCAAATATAATACTGTTATTTCAAAAATCAGTGGCACTTTGGTTAACAGATCTATGATTATTATTATTTTTTAAATAATATTTTTAAAATCGTCATAACTTTTGAATAGTTTTAGCATATATGTAGCTTGTATATGTAAATGGGGTATCTTTTTTTTTTTTTTTTAATTCTCATAATGATTCCAAACTTTTGAATAGTCTTTCAGCTGAAATATAGCTGGTGTATGTAAATGACACAATATTTTTTTGGTATACCACACAGATTCACTCATTCATCAACATATTCATCATTCCCTTCAACCAGAGATGCATACATAACTAGAGTTGTTTGTACTGTCTATAAAACACAGTTATAAGAATGCCCAAGAAATGGTAAAAAAAAAAGAAAAAGAAAAAAGGATATCTAATTTTTGCCCATCCATGAATATCAACAGGAAGAAAAAGCAGAAGAGTGATAGAAGAGCTTCCTGTAAAATAAACACCAGCACAAAAAAGTGGGACAGCGTGTTGAAATGTAAAAGAGCCTCGTGATCCAGTTAACTCATTCATATGTGTGGAATTACAGAGCTCATCTGCTCCATCAAATTGAACTTTCCAAACTCATCCGTAGCAGCCGCTGTATTCCAACGACCATGGAAATTTCAACGGAAATTCCAGACAACGGTAATGAAAGCAGGATCCACGCAGATCTTAACTGTCTTCATGAAGTGACTCAAGGTCGGAGCGTGAGGCACTGTGTCCTGTCTGCTTTTGTTTCATTTCCTCTGACAGCCAGAATAACGGCAGCTCAGCTTACCAGTCAATTTCCCAGTTTTCCACATGCGGAAAAACATTCAAAAGCAGAGATAAGGCAGAATTCATCCTAAAGTAAAAACCTTGGCAACACAAAAGTTCAATATGAAAAGAGGTTGGGAACAGCACTGAGATGGTCATAACGTCTTGGAGTGGACTTCAACTCAAAACTGAACAGAGATGCAATGAATTGGGTTTGTAACCGAAATGAGTTTGCATATGTCTGGCAAAGTTTGCATGTGGCTTTTTTCCAATTTCACCATTTTTCCAAAGAAGCATAACTGAACATTTTGGATTGACCTAATTTTGTTGTCATCAGTATTGAATGAGATCTCTCGCTCAGCCCAGGTTTTTGAAAAAGCTGAGCGTGATTATCAATGTAATGTGACCCGTGGCAAGCTGCATTCTCATATCCACGACAGGAACCGAGCGAACACAGCCAAATCACCCCGCCTTTGTTTCTGTACGGGCTGAGCTCACTCAACCAATGACATCATGAGACAAATAGCCTCTTCACAAACAGATGTAGCGTCCAAGAACTGTCAGCAAAGGTAGCGCCGTTAATTCTCAGAGCGACGCAACACACGCATCCACACAAATACAAACCCGTGATGAACTTCAGCATGTGTTTCTGTTCACTTTTGACCTCACAGCTGCTCTGCCCTTTTCTTTTCCCATTTCAACCAACGATATGTTTTGTTTTGTGGCTAATTTTCCGCAACAGATTTCTGAATGCAAAATTACACAACTAAAACTTGAGACATTTTCCTTTTGTGCTGGAATCGGTCACGCCTCAGTTTGGTATACAATAGCTTCTCCGAACTTCCACGGCATACTAATGCACAGACAGAGCGAGAAAGAAAGGCAGACATAGAGAGCAAGAAAGAGAGCTGGCAGGAGGCCATCAGAACAGCCTGCAATTTTCCCCCTCTTCTCTTGAATTTTCAAGTTTGGCTATTCAGTAGTGAGCAAACAAAACAAGTGCGGAAAAAAGCTAACGCAAATAAGGAGTCTCATCTGTTGAAGTGTTCTGTCCTGTTGCTACTGTTCTTTTGTCCTCCAAGATCCGCTGCTTCACTCTGCCAAGTCACGACGCCCCACTGTCTTGTCCACTGTAATATGGGAAATAAAACACTTTGAAATGCTGAATGTGTTACAAAGGGGAAGAAGAATGTAATGAGAGAGAAAGAAACCCCGAGTCAAAGGCCTCAATTATTCATTGCCTCACATCCTTCTGTTTTCCTGCGCTAGAAATCTGCTTTGAATTAGAGAGCTTCCGGCTGCCTTCACAGAGCAGCTCAAGTTGACAGTAGAGGAGATTGAGGGAGCCTGTATGGGTTTCTGCTTTGATTATTGTTTTTTAAGCGTGTCCAAGCAACCCCCGAAGGGCCTGGTGCTATTTCCTCCCTCTCTTATTGCCAATTTTATAGAAGAAGAAAGTATTTGAAGTACCTGAGTGCAGCCTAACTGCCCTGTAAAATGTATGTCAATGTGCTCGCAGTTGTGCGTATGACATTATATGAGTGGCTCATCCAGGTTTACAACCCAGAGACACACAAGTCGCCAAAAGAAAAACCAAATCATTATGCACTTCAACGCTTAATAATGTTTTCGTATTCTTAATATAATAGAGGAGAAACATATATTCTGAATAATACCAAACTGAAAAATAACTGTGAAGACATTATACTGTGTGCATTCAGTCTTTGAAACCTTTATCCGCCCACTTTCAGCTGATCATAGATGGCAAAATAACCACAGCAGCAGTTACAAAGGGCTGACAACACAAGTATAACTTAAAAATCACATCCAGTATGAAGAAACTCACAGAAACGGTTCTTTCTTCAGAGATTTAAGTCAAAAATACATGAATACATGGGAATGGCAACAACTGTATTAAGCAAAAGTGTTATTTTAGTCCTTCAATAGAAAAGATAATAAATATGCACTCACGAAAGAAGTGTTTGAAAAGGTTGGCCATATCATTCCCAGCTCTGCGAGCAGCCCCCCTCTCTCACACACTACGGCTCTCTCTTTCTCTCTTGGTAACAGAGGAGTAGCTATTCCATGAGAACTTCCTGAAAGTCCAGAGTTATTGACAGAGCAACTCTCCACCCCACACACATGACTGCCCTTAGCCAATGGCTGTCAAGGGGTCCTTTCTGTAGACTCTGTAGTGGCAGGCTGGGCCTCAAACACTTACAGGGTCTTCTGTAGAAACTCAAGGCAGCTATGCATGTACATCACTATTATAAGTTAACAGACAGAGTGCAGACTTATAGCTTTCTAATAAACATTGTACACTATGAATATTATTGGCTCTGTGACGATTTATAGCGCTTTGGATAAAAGTGTTTGTAAAATGTAATAATGTAATAAACATTTATGCATGTTCTATATTTACATTTACACATTTAGCAGGCTTATACTGCATTCAAGGTATACTTTTCTGTCCAGTACATGAATGAACTTGGTGTCACTGGCAGTTCAGGTGCAGGAGCAGTTATACCAGTTCTAGGACCTATATTTCATAATGATAAATATCACAGGTAAATGGTGGTTCTCAGTCACAGTACAAGTTTAAGTTGAAACACTAAAATGACTAACTGGGGTGAATTGAAAACTAAAAGTGAGCTATAAGGAAAAATAAATAAATAAACAATAGTAATATAAATGACAAAAACTAAAAATTAAACTAAAGACCAAATCAGCATGCTTGTCATGCTGCTCAGTCAATCAAATTCGAGAACCGGGAATGATTGTTGTATAATCACTTTTTATGACATATTTTTCCAGAACAGCCCTACAGAAAATATAAAAAGGAAAAGAAAAACAAACTGTGCCTTACAACCTCACAGTGATTAAGCCAAATTGAACAGATTAGGAAGAAGCCTTGAGAGGAACTACAAGACAGCGAAACCCTGGAGCTGACAACAGAGGACATTTGAACAACATTCAGCTCCCTGTTTACAAAGCTTTAAATGTTCCTATTCAACTTATGTCATGTTAAGAATTTGGCATAATGAACCTATGCAGTTCATGATCATATTATTACATTTTAATATCTGTATTCAATTTTATTGATATTTTATATGATGAATAGTTCTTATATTATGTTGGGGCTAATGTTGCATCTGGGTCATGAAACTAAACCAGATGAGCACCACTGATCTATAGATTAGAGAGTGAATCTATAGGCTGTACTGCAGTTTTATTGACCATATGTGGGTCTTCATGGGTCATTTAATAGTTGGTCCCCCAGTGGATCAATATTGTGTGTAATGTGAGTAAACGACACTGAACATGAGCAAGTTCTCCCAGCTCTCCCAGCTGTCATCTGTTTACAAACCTTCAGAGTTATTGTGAAAGAAAGGTTGTCAAATGTACCTCTGGAGCACCTGGTCCAGTGGACAGAGCTGTAATTTAAGGGAATGAGGTCACAGTTAAAGGGAGCCGAATTGCTTCCTGAGAGGAAGGTTCAGTGACTGAGAAAAGGGACAGGCAGGGCATCCATGCTATATATATGAAAAAGTAAGAGAGGGTTAAAGAGAGAAAGAGGCAGAACTACAGAGGCAGAGAGAGACAATAATAAAGATTAAATAAGATAACTCCCATTAAAAACTCTAAACCCCGATGGAAGCCCATTTCCACCACAGAAGAAAAAAGTCTATGCTTTTGTAAATCATAATTATGACATAAAAAGTGGTAATTATTACATAAAAAAGTCAAACTTATGGAATACAAACTCATAATTATGATATAAAAGGTCAAAATTATTACATAAAAGTTAATATTTTGAGTTAAAAAGTAATAATTATGACATAAAAGTCATTTTATAGTTATATTTTTATAATTACTTTTTATCTCATAATTTACCTCATAAATGAACATCGCTTCCTAGTTATTTTCTCTCATTTCAATTGATATAGTACATTCACTTTTCATTAATTCATAATTTTGACGCTGTCATAATTTTGACTTTCTATCTCATAAATATGACTCAGTATGTCATAATTTTGACTTTTGTTCCATAATTATAATTTAGTATCTCATAATTTAGAATTGTTTTATGTCATAATTATGACTTATTTCAGAATTATGATTTTTCATAATTTTTTACTTTTTATCTCATAATTGTTTTAGTATCTCATAATTTAGAATTTTGTCATAATGACTTTTTTCTCTCATAATTGTCTTAGTGTCATAATTTTTTATTTTTTACTACATAATTATGATTTAGCATCTCATAATTTAGAATTTTGATCTCAAAATTATGATTTTATATGATATGAAATGTCATAATTTTGAGTTTTTATCTCATAATTATGTTTTTTTTACTACATAATTATGATTTAGCATCTCATAATTTAGAATTTTTATCTCAAAATTATGATTTTATCTGATATGAAATGTCATAATTTTGAGTTTTTATCTCATAATTATGTTTAGTATCTCACAATTTTGACAGCATTCACTTCATCTGCCACGTCTGATTAGACAATGAGATATCTGGAACAATCACAACACCTGAAAATGAACCTCACTTTCACTTTATTTTCCTTTAGCAGCTTGAAAGGAAGGATAACAGAGCCCAAATAAATCACAAACACTTCAAGCGTTTGTGACCCCTCCAAAACCTACAAATGCATGGCAGCTGTTTACTATAGGAAACGCCTGCAGCTGCCCTGCACTGGAAACGAGGGCCAATGTGCTGGGCTTTGTGAGGATTTCATGCAACAGACAAATAAATAATGGAATAACAAATAAACATATTGTCACATGTCATTCAGTTTGGACTTTGTTTTCGTCTTAACCTGCCTTGTCCAAATACTCACACTTGCAGTCTTGCACTTGACCATTTGACTACTTGTATGACGTATTTCCTGTATTTGGCCCAAGTGTTCAAGTGAGCATGAAGACCACAAGTGTGTGTCGAACTTTTCATTACCTGATGGGACACACTTATAGTGTTGTAATTACAGAGTTTTATTATTATTTTCAATACTTTGCATTTTAAAATCAACTTCTAAATGTCTGTTCAGTAGTCCCTATAGATGACACAATTTAATTAAGTGATAAAAAGCAGTTGCAAATGTTGTACAAAAATAAATATACTAATCTTTGCAGCAATAAAATGTGTAGCACTTTGTTTTACCACCAAATTATATGTAATATCTTATTATTATTACTCCGGAGCGGTATTCGAGATAGTGTGGATTTAGTGTGCGTTAAGGGCACTGCGCTTTGGTATTTTTAAGACCTGGGACAGTCTTGCGCACTTACTTCCTGTTACGCGCACATGCTCTCAAGTGGCCAAGACTGCAAGTTTGGGTATTTGGACAAGGGGACCCGTTCCCTTTTCACTGAGTTAATTGTGTCATTCTGTACAGGTGTGTGTAGCTAATGATCCTTGTTTGGTCTGTCTATTTAAGTTCCTGTGTAAGTTTGTCCAGTCGCGTCAACAATAATTTCTGCGTTTATGCTACTCTGTGTGTTGGATTAAAGACTTTATAAACCTTCTTCTTCATCTATGTGCGCTTAACGTAGCTGTGACACATATTTAGAGACATTTGCATTACTATTTGCATTTCCAAAAACGCAAGTGACGAAATACATTACCTTTTTTTAAAGCTATTTTTCCATGATCCTGTTCCTATAAATAAATACCTTGTTCTATTTCAAACCATAAACTTAACCATAAATCTAGCCCTAATTACAAACTGGTCTCACAAAACCAGATTTTTGATGATTGGCATAAAGTCTGGTCCAGTCTGTAGGTTATCCTAGCCAAGAACAGGGGCCTGTTTCAATTAGGAGGTTCAAGCAACTCTGAGTTAAAACTTGAACTCTGAGTTGACTTACTCTGAGATGGGAGTTACTCTGAGTTTTCGGTTTCAGAACAGCTGAATTGAGTTAGTTCAATCGACTCTGAGTAGGTTGACTCTGAGTTAAGCGCGTGCACCACGACTATGAAAAGCCATGATCAATGGAGCTCCGATATTACGATTCACCATGGCAACAGCACCCGACAAAAAGACGTCTGCATACTTCAGAGCAAGCGGCAACCTTCAGGTCTCTGTCGTGAAACCAAAAAGTGGTTTTGGTCTATATAGCTAATTTTGCCTTTCATGACAACTGTGAGGGGGGTGAATATTTTTATAACTCATCCGTTTAAATTATATTAAGCCTGAAAGTTCTGCATAATTAAGGGCGTGGCCACTTGAGTGACAGGTGGATTACCGCTACTGACACTGCCATCGAGCTAGGTGGGCGTGGTTTCAGCAACCAGCTCCCGCCTCTTTGCCCATTTTCGATTATCTGTGAGTGACGGTGACGGGCTGCCAAGATGGCGACGGCCGGCTCCGCCCACTTTGAGCTTCAAAAATGCTTTTCAGAAACCTACGGGTGAATTCCATGTTTTTATACAGTCTATGTTTCAGAGTCGATACAAGTTTATTTCTTATCCCTGTTATAATATCACAGCTAAAAACTGGCAGAACGGTAGGTTATTGAACTAATAGGCTATTCATTTTCATGGTATCCCACAGGCAAAAAAAATAATTATAAACAAAATAAATGAAATAAAATAGGCCTAATAATAATAATAATTTAAGTGCATTTGTCTTATTTTGCAAATGATCTGCCAATAGGGTAAGAAAAATACGGCTGTGGCTATTTACACTAAGTGGAATTAGCATACTTTCTTACCGATAGATCCTATTTACAGTAGGCTAAGTGCAAATAGCTCTAGATGCTATTTACACTTAGTGAAAATAGTGATATATTCTATTTACCATGTAAAAGTAGTGTGCAGTTCTTTGCAATAAATGTAAATAATAATTAGATGCTATTTATACTTTATACTGGCAGATATATACTATTTGCACCTCATTATTGTTGTACATTAACAGGATGCAATAATAACATAGAGTGTAAATTATTTTATTTATTAAAATTAGGCTATTAAATAGATGCTGCTTATTGGGACAACAAAGCCCTCCCTATAGCCTGCCTACCCCT